GTGCAAAGAAGGAGCCCAAGTCATGGCCATGTCTTCATGAACTTTTCTAAGTGTTAGGCATCAAGAAAGGATCATGGGCCATGTCATTTATGCCTTAGAAAGTCATTGTGCTCTGTCCAAGGGTTGTCTCGCGCCAGCCCGCGTGCACAGGCCCGCTCGCATAGCCCAGCGCCCACTCCAGGACAGCCCGCGCCCAGTTCAGCAGCCTAGCCCAGTGCGCGTCCAGGGCCCAACGCGCTAGCCAACGCCAGCCCACCTTCCAAGTCCAATGTGCATTGTTTCGGCCCACTTCCTTCCAAACCCAATTCATGTTGTTATTAGCAAGGGATTAAGGGTTTAATTAAGCCTAATTGGACCTAAAAAAGTTTAAAGAAAAGTCAAACACAATTAGCACCAAAGTGGAGCATGTGCAAGGCAATATTTTCTTCAAATGTGTAAGATGTTGTCCTCTTACTTGGGAACGTCCAGAATTGAACAGACCCCCATCCTCAGCATTTGTGCTCTGCAAGGTGCTCCTAAAAATGTGCAAGGCCAGGCCAAGCAAGTCCAAGACCTTCCCCAACTCCCATGTGCCTTGAATGGACAAAATGTCCCCCACTTCATGCCTTGGTCAATCCGCCCATGACCACCTATATGAGACTCATCCTCAGCTGATTGTTAGGTATTTTGACACTTAGAAATCTTGAGAAACTCGAGCTACAAAGAGGGAAAATAGTAGCAAGGCCGAGTAGGACCCTTAGCCCCATTCTCGCGCGCGCAAGGGAAGGAGGAAGGAGGAACCGAGCCTTACACCTCTCCAGCCATATACACTCGTGGTTTATCATTACCATAGTGTTTGGTGGATTTTTGTAATCCTTTAGGAGCCCTCTATCTCAACAAATAGCAACCAAGTCGAGCCAAGGACATTAAGGGCCGAGTGGACACAAGTGAAGAGGACCTAGCACCATTTCGAGTTCGGTGAAAGGTAAACTCGCGATTCTCATTTTTCTCAGCCTTAGGATGATAAATTAGGAATTATTATGATGAAAAATGATGCCATGCACGTACTAAAAACGAAGTTACGAATTTCTGAAGTAACGGCCCTTAAATTCGGATTTTATGGTGCATGCATGTTTAGGCCGATTTTAGTAGCTCATTATCCCTTAAAAATTATGAATATGACATTGGTAAAAGATAGACATGCTTTGAGTTCATTTGTTCGGCTAAGTAGATAGTTAAATTGAGCTTATTTTCACCTCCGAGCCAAATTATTATGCATACGAGTTATAGCTAATGTCTTAGCCCTTAAAGTCATGATTTTTGATGCTTAGTATTCGGCCATGAATGATTTTGTAAGTTGAGCAAGTCTATTCGGTGACCTAGGGTCCGTATGAGCCATATCGGCCCTACCGGACTAAGTTATAATCCAACTGAGGTCTCATAGTGATTCTTGGCATTTTTATGAGTATTATGTCATTATATGTTGGGTTGAGTTCATTGTCACAGGAGAAGTCGCCGGAAGTCCGACAAGGACCAGCCACGGTCACTGGCCGCGCATATAGCGCGCGCGGTGCCGGGCCGTGTCGCAGAGGCTAGGTTATGCCTCTGTCCGTGCCCGCGACCAGCCTAAGATGCCTAATATTACTCTAAAGTAGAGTAAGGTCCGCGCTAAAGTAGAGATAAGAGTTGGAGATGCCTAAGATGCACAATATTTTTAGCAAAGTAAAACTTCAAATAATATTTTTTTCACGAAACTAATAATTGTGTACGATTACACATTTAAAAATTCACAATTTGGTCAAAATGCGATCGGGATAACCGAGATTTTGAATTAAAAATATAATCGAATTGAAATTTTTATCTCGATTGGTTTCGATTCATATTGCAAAATAATAGCTATTAATGTGCAACTCGTACAGCACTATTGTGCATTCACAGTGCATACATTTTTAATTATTTGTTCAAAATCAAACTAAAACCGAAATTTGATCGCTTAACTGGATTACCCTATATAATCTAACTGATTTTTTATTTATATTATAAAAATATTTATTTAGTATTGTAATATTTATATTTAATATTTTATATTACTTCTGGTTGCAAAGACATAACAATAAAATACTGAAATAAATAATGTGCATTCCCACAAACAATAATGTTCATTTCATATAACATTATTATGTAGTCTATCGATCGGTATTTTTTATGTGTATTTGAATTTTATAAACTTTAATAATGTATTTTTAATTAACATTATTTTCTATTTATCAATTTATTTGTATAATAAAAATATATTAGTAGTTTTAATATTTTATTTACTATGTTATATTAACAGTTGAAAACAAATAATATATATATATAGATAAAATATAAAAATAATACTTTTTATATTGTTCGGTCAGCCACATTATTATTTTTTACGTAAATAAAGCTTAAACCGAACTAAAATGACTACAATTTAAATATCTTCGAAAATGTATACTATCATACTTATTTTCTATTTATCAATTTATTTATATGATAAAAATATATTTAGTAGTTTTAATATTTTATTTACTGTGTTATATTAACGGTTGAAAACAATTAAACTATATATATATATATATATATAATATAAAAATAATTCTTTTTATATTATTCGGTCAGTCGCGTTATTATTTTATTTTATGTAAATAAAGCTTAAACCGAACTAAAATGACTACAATTTAAATATCTGTGAAAATGTATACGGTTGGATTTCTGAATGACAAGCAGCTCCTCCTGCATCAGGACCTCATCCAATTCACGGGTACCATAACAACGTCTTTTTCTTTTTTTCTTTTTTTTTGTCATATAGTGTTTATTGTGCAGAATACACTGTTATGTTAGTTTGCATTTTTAATGCAGTAACGTGTATTTTATCTAACATTTTTGTGCAGTGTATTAGTCACTAATGTGCATCATATTTAGTACTATTGTGAATGTTGCAGTGTGGGTTTTCTTATGTGCAAATGCAAAATAAAACTGAATCGAATTAAGGGGTTATTTTTTATTTGCATTCAATTTTACAAACTTTAATAATGTGTTGTCAATTGACATTATTTTGAATTTATCAAATTATTTATATAATAACAAAATATTTAGTAATTTTATTTTTTTATTTAATATTTTATATTTTTATTTGTTGAAATAAATAATATAATTTTTTCTGTCACGCGTTGTTATTGTATGGAATACATTGTTATGCTAATGTGCATTTGGTCTAATACTATATGTTGATAACCGACTTGATTTAGTAAGAAGATTTATTGATATTATCTTCGAATGCTCTCTCCGGCTCAGTTCCTACAATAAACTCAGTCCAGCTCGGTGCCAATAAACGACAACCGACCTACTTGAAGCGGTGAACCGACTTCGCATAAAAGACAAGAAACCGACTTTGCGAATATTCTTCCTCGAAGATTATCCACTCAAACCGAGGTCCGAGGTGACTGAATCTCAAAGCAGGATACAAAGCACATTCTTGATTGGGCCACATAGCATAAAAGTAATCATTGTTGTCCCCTTTTTACCTTACAGACCGCTTTAATGAAGCAACTCAACATTAAATGCCATCTAATCTACCTCGTACCAAAAGTCAAACGCACCGTACTATAAATAGCAGAATTTATGATTGTAGGGGGATCCTCTTTACGCACATTGTGTTAGAGGTATGTTATAAAAGCTCGTTTTTGCAGATTCTATCAATTTCATTTTGATCTGGCAATCATGTTTTGGTCAAAATACATATGCTTGCAGTTTATTTATTTATGCAATCGTACTCCTTGTCTTACATTGAGATAGTGTGATTCGTGGTGTCTCGAATAGAAAGGTCACCTATCGGTTTCTTGTAAGACTAAACTATTCGTTCACAGTCTAGACAGGCAGTGAGACCCCTCTTGGAAAAAGACTGTAGTATATTCTTGATTCAGTTTATCTTTGACTGGAGAACTACACTAGTACTTATGATAAGTATTGAACAGGACCCCGGAAGGATAAGATTATGAGACTCACTGATCGTTGTTGTAATCTAGACCTTCGGTTGTTGATGCGTTCTCTAAAGCTGTAAGATAATATAAAACGGGCATATGTATTCATTACTTGTTTATTTGATTTACCAAGGGTGATTCCTATTATGTTAGGATGACATACTCGGTACTTTGGTAAATGAGAATGTTTATATGATGTGATGTTATAAATTATTTACGGTCACTATGTCCCAGTGCGCTGGATTGATGATGTCCCCGAAATGAGTTCAGAAAAGAATATTCTGTCAAGCCCTGCAGGCGGATGTGTATCCGACATAATGGTTAATGATATGAGTGGTACTAGTTTCGGAAATGAAAAAGAAGTTGATTAATTATTTTGTCAGTAATTTAATTAATCAACGGACGTTATATGTTAAACATAGGGAGGTAAATCGATCAATTAGATTAATATTTATTAATCATTTGGAGGTTCGAATTTATTGAATAAATTGGAGCTAAATAGGGAGAGCAATAATATTACTCTAGTGGAAATGTTTTATTATTTAATTCTATTTAGATTAAGGAATTAATTTTATTCCATAATTAATGTTCCATTAGGATAGGAATATTCCTTCTAGAATATTACCTAGGGTTAGGAGACTAAAGAGTCTTCTAGAAGGTAATTAGGGTTAGGAGGAATTATATCCTAGATCGGAGAAGTATATGGAATAGAATTAGGTTTCCTTAGCCTAATAGGATAAGCACATATTTAGCACCTACTTAAGGTCCCTAATGTAGTCTATAAATACATCTTGTCTCTAACTCTTGCAATACACGTGTGGATCCGATTTTAAGGTCCTAATTGGGAGAGGAAAATCGTGTTCATCATATATTTGAGAGTTTGGGATTTTCGATTAATCACCCACCAAGATTATTCAAAGTAGGTGTAAAGGTTATACATTAGAAGGCTTTAGGGTACAATATTTATTGAGCCTTTTATGTATTTATTTATATAATTTTTCCGGTGACCCACGATTATCCGGTGACCAACCGGAGCTCAGGCGACGTCCGACGAGCCGCTGGAATTTTTCCCGGAATTTTCCCAACACCAGTCCGCGCCCAGGTGTCCTGCTTGTATCCGTGGCCCAGTTGATGATGAGCCCAGACGCGTGCATGAAGATTCCAGCAGCTTGTGCATCGACCGAACTCCGCGCGATCCAGCAGGCGAGAAGGAAGCCTAGTCCATGCGCGCGCGAAGCCCAGTAGCAAGCAGGCAGCCCACTTCACGTGCAAGCCCACCAGCGGGAAAGAAAAGTGCACGAAGAACCAATTCTTTACTGTTCGAACCCGTTAAAACTCTGCACTGTAATACATGACCACCTAGAAAAAAAAAAGAGAGGGTTAACAATTAACTTAATGATTAGACACAGTTTAATTTAATATTTAATGTAAAAAATTAGACCTTTGTGTATTTGAAATGCAATTCATGACACGGATAGCCAAATAATTTTTCACAATCTTTATTCCAATAAATAAAAGACGCGTTCCCTGTTGCATCGCTCACTTCAAATTGAATCTTGTACCTATGAGGACAACAATAATAATTATTTAAGAATGAATAATTAAATTTAAAAAATTAATATAAAACTTACTTCAAAATACCATCGTTAAAAATCATCACATTTTTCACAATAAAATATATTCCCGGACGAAGTTAATTTTTTGGGACATTTGTGACATGACTGGTACTAGTAGTCACCAGTGAAATACTTTATTTTACTTATACATTTTTTTTAAAAAAAAATACTTTGCTTTATAATATTCGATAATTATTCTAACTTGCAGATCTACAATTAATTTATAAACATTCTCATCGCTAGAATAAATTATTGACAAATATGTCATTATACAAATAAAATTCCAACATTTACTTCTTCAATTTTTTTTTAAACAATTGAATTCTAACCTAAGAGTCTTCAATTTTTTTTTCAAATGTCTAAAGTTTATAAGTTGTTTGATCTTAAATTTTCTACATTCGAATTATATCTAATAATAGTGAAATTAGATATGAAATATTTTAAAAATATCCATAATGAATTACACACAAACATTATTCATAATATTCTTTATTCTCTATAATAAATAAATAAATAACGTTGTACAATTTTTTTTGTTTCATTATCTATAATAATTTTGATCAATACAAAAGATATGACTAAGATTAAATTAACCTATTAAATTAATGTGTGTATATATATATGGATAGACCTATAAAGATTTATAATTACAATTACTAATTAAAATTGTGGAGTAAATATTTAATTAGAGAATAAACATAGAGGACAACCGATATACTAATACCATTTCAATATAAGTAGAAACAAACAAAGTCCTACATTACTTAAATTCAAACAAACTAACACCACATGGCGCCTAAAAAGCTCCATATGAAACTTCTTGATAGAAGCATGAATACGGTACCCCTGAAATTAACAAATAAAAAAAAAAATTATAAAACAATCAATTATAAGGGAAAAAGTATTATATTCAGTGTGAATATTGAAATCGATTTACCTCAGAATCATGAAGTATTACTTCAAGACCCAAAAATGTAGAGCGATCCCCAAATGTTGTACGCTCGTAACATCTTACCACACAAACCTTGATGTTCCATTCAGTCTTGTCCATGTTCACATTCTTAAGGAGAGTGAATGCCATGATTTTTTGTTTGTCTGTTTTTTTGCTTGCTTTCTCTTAAGGAGAGTGAATACCATGATTTTTTGTTTGTTTGTTTTTTTGCTTGCTTTCGTAACCTTGATGTTCCATTCAGTCTTGTCCATGTTCACATTCTTAAGGAGAGTGAATACCATGATTTTTTGTTTGTTTGTTTGTTTTGCTTACTTTCGTGTGTGTTTTGCAGTGAAGGTACGATATAATGATTCTGGAATAGATATATTTATTTATAACGATTGAATAATACTCAATACTTAATCTCACTACAATATTAAAACATGACTTTTAACTGCCCAACACGATAGAGAGTGCTCAGTACTCCTTAACTGCAGTGCGAGTACTTCTTAACTGCTGAACACGATAGAGACTATAATCCAATCAACCAACTGAAATACAGGTGTTCATTTATGATTTATTATTTATTGTTTATTAGTATTTCTTTATATATTTTTAAATTAAACTAAAAATGCGGCGTAGGAACATAGGTCAATCTTCTTAATATATATCTTCTTAATATCTGAACACGATATATACTATTTGTATTACTATTACTATATTAATATTATTATTGTTAAATATTTTAGTTTAAATTATTTATCTAATTTTCATAATTTATACTTGATAAATTATAATTTTATAAAATAATTAAAAGTGTTCGTATGCTACTTGTCTGAATTTTATAAAATATTTTATCTTAAATTTTGTGCATAAACATTAAATCTAATAGTAGTGAAATTAGATATAAAATATTTTAAAAACGTGTAATACATAAAAATTCTTCATTCTTCATAATAAATAAAGAAATAACAACATGTTTGTAGAATATATTTTATTTCATTTTCTACAACATACAAATTAAATCTAATAATAGTGAAATGTTCAATAGAGAGTACTTCTTAACGGCAAGTGCGAGTACTTCTTAACTGTTGAACACGATAGAGACTGTAATCTAATTCAACCAACTGAAATACAGGTGTTCATTTATCATTTATTATTTATTGTTTATTAGTATTTCTTTATATATTTTAAAATTAAACTCACGCAGTAGTTACGTACGTAGGACGGTAGGAACGTAGGTGAATCTTCTTAATATCTGAACACGATATATACTATTAGTATTACTATTACTATCACTAGAATACTATTATTATATTATTTATTATTTAACTGCTGAAGACTATGATTCAATTCATGTTGTTCATTATCATTTTTATTTATGTTTATAATTTATTGTTGTACTTTATAACTATTACTATTATTTATAAGTCTTTTGTTTGATAATTAGTAATTGTTAATTTTTATTTTATGCAGGAACATCAATTCGGTCATATGAATGAATGCCCAAGTGAAGAGTTTTATTTTTTCATTAGTAATTGTGATTATTAATCTCTCTATATATAATTATTTTTCATTAGTAATTATTTTATTTTTAAAAAACAAAATAAATTGAAGATTCATGAATTTTAATTGTCTATTTATATTGAGGAAATTTTCATCACTTCAATGGTATTTTTATATTTATATTTACATATATATAAATATATATAGATAGATATATAAATATGCTAACTCACCGTAATAAAGTAAAATATTTTTAAAAACATTAAAACAATGTAATGGAAAGTATAGAATAGTTTTTAAAACATTCACATTGAATGAAGAGCGGAATAAACCGCTTAATTCAAAATAAAGTGTGGTTGTGAATAATAAAGTGAATATTTTAAAATATCAAAATTCAAATGTGCAACTAATCAGATTTGCCGTACAGTGACGTAGGATCTACATGCAATTTCTAGACTTTCCCAGTATAGAAAGTGTATTGTAGGACTCACATCAAACTTTCTAAAAATAGAAAGTGAGTTGCCTAATTATATAGTAGATAGATTATTTAAAAAATGCTCCGATTCCATCTCTACTTATTTTAATAAATTACTATAAAATTTCGTAAACATAGGAAAGAATATATTAACATAGTTCCCACGTTAAATGGGCATAATATTCTTTGAAAGAACCTTGTTCCGATATGCCAATGGCCTTATGGCATTCCACTGGAAGGCTTTGACAATCGTAGTTTTCGCAGAATTTCACAATCGTAGTTGTCGCCGAATCCTTTACATATGCCCGTGGCATTTCATTATTACCATTTCTGAGATAAGCAGAATCCTTTCTGAGATATGCAGAATCCTTTGCATATGTGCATTTCATTATTAGCATCTATTACTATATAATAAGGAGAAGAAAAATTATTTGATATTTCATTTCCCGCTTCTTTAGTCATTCTTTCCCGCTTCTGTTTTTCGTTTTGAACAATTTTCAGTAAATATTTTTGAAATTTTTTGCATGTCCCGCTTAACAAATTTGTTAACCAATAAATCACATCCAATGTTTGGCAAGTAAATCACATCCAATTATATATTATTTGACAAAGTACATTCTTTTACCAGTTAGACTCATTTCATTTCGTTGGGGGAGAAAAAAAAAAGAGTCCTTAGATTTTCAAAAGAAAAAGGAATAAATTATTTGATTATTAATCAAAATAAGTAATTAAAAATTATGAAATTATGTGACCTAATATGTACTTAATATAAACATAAAATCAAATATTGAATATTTAATATCATGAATGATATAAATTTAAATTTACTACTAAATAATATTTTGTTTTAACGTTAATGTCAACAAATTATTTGATTCAAACAATTTATCATTAAATATCTAATAATCAACAAATCGTGAAATCCCGTGTCATAGCACGCTACAAAAATATGACATCTATTAATATATAAAAAGACAATGATATTTCCTTGAAATAGTAATTAAAAATCAATAAAAAAATATTTGGTTTTCCCGCCTAAAAATTCAGAAATAATAAATTGGGCAATTCTTTTTTCTTGCCAAAGTTTGAAAAATCCTGCCTAAGTTAATGTAATTAATGTATAAAATTATTTTGGTCAAATATTGCGGCTATTACCTTTATTAGTTGAATAATTTAAATGTGAAATATAATATATTGGCAAAACTTGCAGTTATTACCTTTATTAGTTGCATAGTTTAAATTTGGTATATAATATATAAACAAATAAACATATTTTTACTTAGAATTAAAAAAAACAATTATTCATAACTTACGGGTCAATATTAACTTGGACGTGAATGAAATAGTCAATTATTTATAGTTCAATAAATTACTCAACTACTTAATTTTTTTTTATTTGATAGTTTATACAAAAATAAATTATTTTAAGTAATGAAACAATATAAATTTTATATTTTTATAATTATTATTCACATATGTTGTTAAATATATGATAAAATTTTACCAAAATAATTATTTTATGTAATCACATTATAGTCAAATCAAATTTCTGAATAGACATTTTTATGTAATTGTTCACAATTTAAACTTTATATAATATTTTTAACAAATTAATATAGGTATTTGATTCTATATTTTTAATTTACAAATATTATTTAATAAAAAAATTTTAATTTATAAATATTAATGAATATCTCTTACCCGTGCAGTGCACGGGACTCATACTAGTTTCTAAGATAATATAATTCAATAATGAAACAATATATTACTACTTAGTGTAAGTTCTGGATCGTTTTGAGCTCGTGTTTGCTTTCGTTTGAACTCTGTTCATATTCATTCATTTATTTTTCGAGCAAAAAAAATCGAATTTGAGCTCGTTCATTTAATTGTTTGTCAAAGTTCGAGTTCGTTCGTATTCGTATAATTTAACACAAACTTTTTAAATATGTTTGATTAACTCGAAATATATGTAAATATACAGAAAATAAAATGAAATTATATTAAATTAATATTCGTGAACATTATCGAACGTTGATGAATGAGCTCGTGTTGGTTCGATTATTAAACGAGCCTAATTTTCTGTTCGAAAACAACTCGATTAACAAACGAATGAGCTGTAGCTGAAACACGAACGAGCTTTTGTTGGCTTCATAAACAGCCATATTCTGGGGCCTGGTCCTAAGGAACCAATGCATACTCTGGTATTCAAGGCCTTAGCCAAATGCATTGAGACAAAACTAATGTCATATGCACTGCACTTACCAACCACAAAAGAACATCACCAAAAGAGCAAAGCCTTGTGAAACAAAACTTTCAAGAAGCAGCATCTGCCACCTGTATTCCAGATTGGCCCACGTCATTACCAGCAACAAAAGGGATTTTCTGAAACTCATTCCTCAGTTGCCCACAGGCTGCACTTGCATCCAGTCCCCTTGTTTGGCGAACACTAACAGTAATTTTACGAGACTCGAGAGCTGTCGAAAACCCAAGAATCTGTGCGCAGGAAAACAATCCCCAGATTATAAGTAAGCAAGCGGCATATGCAATTTAAGGATCAGAACTCAGAGAGAGACATACAGATTTTTTAGAAGGGCGTTGATACTCGGAGCCTTGTACAGGATTGAAAGGTATTAGGTTAACATGATATCCGGGACCCCATTTGTGAATAAGCTTGCCCAATTCTATTGCATGCTCTGGAGTATCATTCACGCCGGCTGCAATATCAAGGAAGATGATTATAATCAGATTTTATGCTGTTATATGTTATTGAATGCAAGACACTTGACTAATTTGCTGGAATGGAATACCTAACAGTGTGTACTCAAACGACACACGTCTGCCCGTTTCGAGGAAGTAGTGTTTGCAGTCCTCCATTATTGCTTCCAAAGGATATGACTTTGCGCTTGGCACAATCTTTTCCCGGAGTTTCTGATTGGGAGCATGCAAACTGATGGTGGAAGATACAATTATTACGAGAATGCCACTGGCGAAATTGCATTCAGTGTGCCAAATAAAAACAACCATAAACCTTAACCAATCAACTTACCTGATAGCCAGTGTCGATTGAAGTTTGTAAGAAGCCAGTCTCCTAATGGTGTTTGGAACCCCAACAGTCGAAATTGTTATCATCCTTTGCCCAATTCCAACATCCTTAATAAAGCCATAAAAGGATCATACTTTAGGCATTGATATAATATCAACATATTTTAGTTTCGGGTGCAACGCTTTTTTATTCATCTTATGTAAGATAAGGGCACTCGCAGATACTAGAAATCATGAAATTCGCGAGCAAAAGACCAAATGAAAAAAATAACCAAGCTGATGAAAGGTCTCAAACATGTGTTGAATACCAAGATGATTACAAAGTTAAGAACCTCTCGAACTGCATTATCCATTCGCATCTTAATTTACAACTAAAGTAGGACATTGTCTTATCCAAAGTGTGATCCGACGTAAATGTTAAGTAATGAATGAATTTCCACAAGTAGAAATGCCTAATGCCAATAATAGAGACTGAGTGATACTGGACGTAGTTACTCTCATATGATTGTCCAACAAATTCTATATCTGAAGGGTCGCTCATATAGATCTCTAGGCCATATATCCCAACCTATAAAACCAAATACACAACCCATATGACCTCAATTTCCGATGGATCCAATATAGTGCTATAGCCTGATCTAAATGACCCATCTCATATATTCCAATTTTTTCTGTTTATTCTTATATGATACAAGTTTAATTTTTATTCTTTTTATCTGTTTCTTTCCACGACTCCCTTCTCATACTCTCCTGTCGGCAGCCATCTTCCGGTGAGTTTTAATAATGCATATATTATATGAAACCAAAAGTATACATTTATATTTATGATCGCATAAATGTGATTTTGTATTTGTCCTAAAGCAGATGCGACACATTCTGTAATACTAAAGCACTTTCACAAACTAAAGCGTC